GAAGTCATCACCTTCCATGAGCAGCTCAAAATCGAAACCGACCGCCTGCATGAGCAGATTAACATCGATGTCGGTCGCCTCCGTGAGATGACCCAATTCGACGTCGACGCCCACTGCGAGCGGCTTGTGAGCAGAATCGACGCCTTTCAGGGGCTCCGGTGGGGCCAAACGGGAACGCCGGTCTGAGGGGCTTCGGAGCAATCCTGTTGTGAGCCCAGGATTGAAGGGGCAATCCTGGGGTGACAACAGGATTGAAGGAGGCAATCCAACAGGATTGAGGGGGCGGGCTGGCGTGGCTCCGATGCCGGGCAGGTGCGGCCGGGATGGAGGCTTCAATGCCGGGCAGGTTCGCCGAAACTGTCGGGTTAGACGACAGTTTCGAAAAAAAAATTCCTGGGAAGAATTCCGACCTTGGCGCGGGCTCGGCAGGGCTCCGATGCCGGGCAGGTGGCGCGCTAGGTATCGAAGCCTCCACGTCGGGCTGGCGCGGCTCTGCCGGGCAGGAATGTGATGCTGGAAAGCATAAGTGGCACTTATGCTTTCGAAGCGGCCGGGTGGGAGGCTCCGATGCCGGGCAGGTGGTGCGGCCGGGGTGGAGGCTTCAATGCCGGGCAGGTGGCGCGGCCGGGAGGCTCCGATGCCGGGCAGGTTCGCCGAAACTTTAGACAGTGGCCCCCCCACAGGACCACTGGAATTTTTTTTTGCTGGGAAGAATTCCGACCTTGGCGCGGTGGGCGAGCCATCAAACGAGGTTGGGCGAGCCCGTCAGAGTCGTTGGGCGAGCCCGTACTCAGAGTCGTTGGGCGAGCCAGTACTAAGGGGCCGTTGGGCGAGCCAGTACCAAGGGGCCGTTGGGCGAGCCAGTACTCAACCACTTTCACAGCGGCCCACAACGCCTGCTCCAAGCTGCGCCTGCTTGGCGCTGTGCCTCCTACAGTGCCCGCTCGCCACGTCCCACGGTGCCCGCTCGGCACTGGCACTCTTACGGCGCCCGCTCGGCGCCATAGTGCCTACAAGTGCCCGCTCGGCACTGCAAGCGCCCGCTCGGCACTTGGCACCCCCACGGTGCCCGCTCGGCACCGGGGTGCCTACGGTGCCTGCTACCTAGGTGCCCGCTCGGCGCCGCCCCGCCTCCCGCCCACCGCGAAGTTCTCCAGGATGTACACCTGACAGGAAAAAAATCGGGGGGGAGGGGGGGGGCATTAGGGCTTGAACCACATGCACATGCAAACATGCAAAACCGTGCAAAAAACCAACATGTCAAAATGTCATGTTCAAAATCATGTCATGCAAAAACAAGATGTCATGTCAAAATCATGTCATGCAACCGCACCATGCAAAACCCATGCAAAAACCATGTCAAAAACCATGCAAAATCGTGCGAAACAAGAATGCGCGCGGCGCGTACGCTGGCGTGGCGTCTATGCCGGGCAAGTGGCGCGGCCGGATGGAGGCTTCTATGCCAGGCAGGTCTCACAGTCCCCCGAAGCCTTGCTATACGTCTATGTGCTATATGGGTCTCACAAGGCAAGCCACTGAACCTCCACTCTCCCCCGGGTCCTTGCTATATGTGCTATATGTGCTATATGGCTCTTACAAGGCAAGCCACTGAACCTCCACTCTCCCCCGAATCCTTGCTATATGTACTATATGTGCTATATAGGGCCATATAGCACATATACTACAGATTGCGTACAGAATAAGTATATAGCACATATAGTTCATATAGCAAGAAGCTGGGGGAGAGTAGGGGTTCAGCGGCTTGGCGTGTAAGACCCATACAGCACATATAGCACGTATAGCAAGGAGCCCGGAGACTGTGGGGGTTCAGCGGCTTGGCGCGGCTTCAATGCCGGGCAGGCTTCGATACCGGGCTTCTATACCATATCACTATAGCACGTATAGCAAGGAGCCCGGGGACTGTGGGGGTTCAGCGGCTTGGCGCACTCTTTAGAGGCGATTTCCCAAATGGATTCTATTCTACCTAAATCAAATTGTGGGGGAGTTCAATACAGGGAATGCAGGGAATCCCTGCATTCCCTGCCTCAGGGCGTTTCCCAAATGGATTCTATTCTACCTGAGAGGCTCCTAGTTCTCTCTTTAGAGGGGGTTTCCAAATGGATTTTATTCTACCTGAGAGGCTCCTAGTCCAGGAAATGACCTTGTCCTGCGAAGGATTCAAAGTCTAAAACGCTGCGTGCAGGCGTGTGGCTGCAAAATAATGACCCTAGGCTCCAGGTTGCATTTTAAGCAATGTCAAGCTTTGCCAAAGAAAACCCCTTTCCCTTTTGTTGGGAACCCTTTTTTTGGGCCCTTCTTTTCTCTTTTTTTTATTTTTTTCTTAGCCCTGCAAAGGTTGGCTTGCTTGCAAGCATATCTAGGGGTTATTATTTTGCAGCCACGCCTGGGCCTGGCCAAGGGGCTGCTGCCGCGCCACCGCGGGCAAGGTTGCGAATTGGCGGCGCGGCAGCAGTCGGCTGAAAAACACGCTCTTTCGGCCTTAGTAGGGCAGCAAGGCGCGGCCGTGCAGAACGTCCGGTCCGCCAACAACAAAACAACGCCACGCAGCCTTAACACGTTCGGCAGCCCAATGCTCTGCGGGCTGTTTTGAGCAGCTTTAAGGTTTGGGGCGCCAGGACCCTCAATAGCCTCTTGGCCGCTCCAGCGTGAGCACCCCTCCTGCCGACCCGCAGCGGCCCAGAAGTCCAGCGCCGGAAACTTTACGTTGTCGTTTGCCCACGCAGCCAGTCCGCCGAGCGCTGCGTATCTCTTTACAACCAGCCGTCCACTTTTCGCCGCGACGTACCTGCGACCCAGTTGGCCGTCTGCGCCTCCAGCCCAGGTTCTGCGCGGAGCAGGCGTCTTGGACACAGGTGCGCCGCCTGCCCTGCTCTTGAGCCTTGCACGATCGTCCGGGCCAGGTGCGTCTTCCGTGCCCAAGCCCGTAAGCAGCAGGAAGTTGCCTGCCAGGTTGACGGTCGTCCACCGTTCCACTTTGTTGTTGGGGCGCTGCTGCTCCGCACGCTTTGCCTCTTATGCGCGTGCCGTCCGGTGGCGCAGCGCCTCCAGCGCCCGCAGCCGCTCCTAAGCGCTTAGAGCCGCTGCGTTTAGAGTCGTCTTCAGCTGCGCAAGGTAGCGCAGTAGCAAGAAAACGCACTCTCTAGAGGGGGTTCCCAAATGGATTTATTCACCTGAGAGGCTTCTAGCACTTGTCCAGAAAACAACTTCAAAGTCTAAAACGCTGCGTAAAGGCGTGTCGATGTGACAGGTGCGCTTAGGGAGGACCGCCGATAGGCGTAACCCCCCGAAGGAGATGCTGGCATTGGAGACCAAAGTCTCCGCCAAACCCACTAGTTCGAGGGTTTCCAAGGGTTTTCCCTCAGGTCCTGCGGCCGAGGTTGGAAATCGATGGTCATCGAATCGGACGCCTAGGCCGACGATTGAGGAGATCTCCTACCCGCTAGGGGATCCTAGGATCTTGAGGGCCCACCGGGCCGAACTACTAGAGTTCACGGGGACCTGGAAAAGGAGGCCGCTGTAGGTGAGGACCTCAGGCCACTGCAGTTACGACTGAACCACCGGTGGAATCGTCTGCGGCAAGACGAGCGGCGTCGCCCGTTAGGGAGGACACAGGCAGCGTTACCCCGATTAATTCGGGGTGGTGGCGGGAATTTAATGCCCGGGATGTCGCGCAACTGCCTTTGTGGGTTTGCTCCACCGCTGACGCGGTAGTGTCCAGCTGTTTGCGGACGCATGCGAGCAGTTAAATCCTATCAGTAAATGGCACGCTCCACCCGTCATATGACGGGCTCCTCGTGAGGGGGTGTGATTAGCCATGATTCATTTCATCAACAGGGATGTCGCGGTAGTGACTGACCTGTGATGTTTGGCAAGTTTGGATCCGCGCCTCGGATGAGCGTCGCCGGGCCCTCCGGGGTGGGTTGGTGGGGATCGCCCGTGCGGTTCATCGTCGATAGGTTGCGGGTATCCTTTTCTCTTTTGGTTTGTTTCCCTTTGGTTGTTGTTCTCTGGTGTGTGGGAAACCCTGATCTTTGGGACCGGGGATTGGTTTGCTTTTGGGGAACCTTTCTTTGGTGGCTTGTTTACCCCAACTTACCCATTGCCTGGGCACAGGCTCGTGCCCGAATCACATTTTTTCAACCCTAAACTTACCCTAAACCACCCTAAGCCCACCTCAACCCACCCGACACCAAAACGAAACCTCGCAGTCACCTTGAGCCCGCCTAAACCCCCACCACTGTCCTAAACCCTAAACCCACCCGCCCAATCCTGGAACCCTCCCTAAGCTCAGTCTAAACCAAAACTTCTGGGTGTTGAGAACGAGACTGCGGATGTTAACGCTGTTGATGTAATACAGGTGCATTTCGCTAGCAGATGCTTTAACATAGGTTATTTTGGCGCCTGGGGAGAGAGAAACGGCCCTCGCCCAACCCAAGATACAGAACCTTCAGCCCTTTTTTTCAGTTTGCTTGTTTGTTTGATTGTTTGTGTGTGTGTGTGTGTTTTGTTTGTGTATGCTTGCATGACATGTGTGGGGTTGGCATATGCTTAACAACACTGGGTTTAGCACAGCAAACAGGAGGGCGGGATCGTGAATTTTCGTCAAAGTGCGTTTCCACCAACATTTGCGTTGATTTTGAAACAGGATTGTGTCCCATTCCCTGTTACTTTGAAACCTGTTTTGAACAAGATGCACGCATTTGCAATTGCATTGGTTCAATGCGCACTGGACATGATGTTTGCAGACATGACCAGGCACACACACACACACACACTCACACAGGGTTGCATCGCCCTGATATTGGCATCATCGGCTCAGCGATTCAATCCGCTTGCTGTATGAGGAGACAGCTGGCACATCGCTTGGACTCAGACATCATGGTGACATACACATTTGTAGCAGAAAGCCTTGACAACTCCACTCGTCGAGAAGCGCACACAAAACTTTTGTAACATCACAGCTCCTTCGGCAGTGCTTCATGGCCGGTGTCACGATTGCAGTCGGGGGAAGATGGCGAGAGATTGAGAGTCAAAATCAGGAGCTCTCATCGGAGTTGGCTGAGTGCCAGAAGGAGCTTGCCACCAGGGGGAAAACCGAGCAGGATCTTTGCCAAAGGCTTCTTGCTGCAACATCCCGAAGTAGTTCTTTGCAGGCTGAGGCGCGCACTCAGCAGGACGAAATCTTCGCAATGCAGGCGTCATTGGATTGCGCTGATGCGGCCCGCACAGAGATGAGTGCTGCAATGTCTGTGGCGGATGTGCAGAAAGAAGAGCTCGTGTCCGCAAAAGATGCTTTGACGGAAGAGTGCCAGCGGCTGCGCGATGCGCTATCGCGCGTGCTGCAGGAACATTCGCAAGTCAAAGCAGAGCTGGCAGCAAGGGAACAAGGCCTCTCTTTGGAAAGCAGCTTGAGAAGGAAAGCAGAAGCCAAAAATCAACACCAGGAGGCTGAACTCCAGATGCTGCAGGGCAGGTATGACAAGCAGAGCACCCATGTGCAGCTCTTGCTGCGGGAAAAGGAGCGGCTTTGGAGCCAGCTCAGCCGCTCGCGGCAAGACAAACGTGAAGACACCAAAGTGGCCAAAGAAAAAGCCACTGAAGTGAAGGCCAAGGAAAACTGCAAGCCTCGGCCCAAGAGCTGCCCCAAAGCTCCTCTGCGCAGTGATCGCTCGCTTCTTTCTGCGGATCTGGAGAGAAAGCTGTGGCACGCACAGAAGGCACATGCGCACGCATTTGGTGTTAACAGCTGAGGGATGAATGCAATAGAGTTTTCAAGACGACTCTCTCCGCAAACAGATCTTACTTGTGAAGTTGAATGGATTGCTTCTGTGTGCACTATTAGCTTGGCAGTGCCATTTTGGGATGCTCGGAAATAGTTTTTTACGCACTCAAAGGGCGTAAGTTTGTTACTCGGTGCCTGTCCCTGAAGGCATTGGAACGTGAGCGGGCCTTGCACGAGACGACGCGACTCGAGCTGGCAGCAATCAACCGGTGATTGCGGCCAGCTGCCATGTCGCGAGTTTCAGGATTTCGCTGTAGCTCCGTTATCATGCTCGTTTTTTCCCACATCGCACACCAGACTCGTTTGGACGTTGCATTCACGTGGGATCCTGACGTGGTCTGGCGGAAACAGATATCCGCTGGACCTTTGAGAGTAATTCGTGTATTTGCAGCCAGCTAGCTTGGGGAGAAGATGTTGCTTGCGTGACGGAGCTTGGCCCGGTTGATGGATGCAGTTTTGCTGCTTGAGACCTGGCAAGGAACTGTTGCTTGGCTTGATGTATTCCTGGCAGACGTCATTGTTGGCCATTGGAAACAGTGCGCATGTATGCTATTTCCGCAGTCTGCTCTGCAGGCTCTCGCTGACAATGAGGAAGGTCAGATTCCCTTTTCTACATGCGCCAGGCCACATCAGGCCCAACGGGCCGCAGTTACAATTAACATGTAGAAACTCTTGACAACTCGAAACAAATTTACCGAACTTATTTCTTGGACGGCTTCTGCATCTCATGTCGGCGACTTAGTTTCCGCGCGCCGATTTTTTGATTCTGACATCGGTGATTCGCCAACCGTGAAGGAGTTTTGCATGATGGTTTTCAAGAAGAAGCTACTGAAGCTACTTAGCTTCTAGCCAGTGCGGCTTAAATGAGCAGACCTGAACCCCCTATTCGTGTGGTATCAAGACCCAGCTGTTTAGTGGGCCAGTGCTCCTTGAACGATAGACTTGGCCCTAGCTGCTGCCCGTTTTTTTTTTTTGTTGCCGTCCGTCCGTCGACCATGCGTGCCGAGGTGGAAGCACTGCCGATGGGAGATCAGGCACGTTCCAGCCAGGCGCGCGCACCTGTGCCTTCCAAGTTCTGTGATGACTCTGTATCAACATGGTTTCAGAGCATCAAGCAGATCAGAGCCAATAAACTCTCTGACGTCTCACATGCGCACACACACACACATGTATGTATTATGTTTTCATTCATCAATACATACATACATACATACATACCTACCTACCTACCTACCTACCTACATACATACATACATACATACATACATACATACATACATACATACATACATACATACATACATACATACACACACACACACATACACACATACGCACATACACACATACACACATACATACACACATACATACATACATACATACATACATACATACATACATACATACATACATGCATACATACATGCATACATGCATACATGCATACATACATACACACATACAGGCATACACATACACACACATACACACATACATACATACATACATACACACATACACACATACATACATACACACATACATACATACATACATACACACATACATACATACATACATACATACATACATGCACATACATACATGCATGCATGCATACATACATACATACATACACACACACACACATACACATACACACATACACATACACACGCACACATGCACACACATACACACACATACACACACACATACACACACATACACACACATACACACACACATACACATACATACATACATACATACATACATACATACATACATACATACATACATACATACATACATACATACATACATACATACATACATACATACATACATACATACATACATACATACATACATACATACATACATACATACATACATACATACATACATACATACATACATACATACATACATACATACATACATACATACATACATACATACATACATACATACATACACATACATACATACATACATACATACATACATACATACATACATACATACATACATACATACACATACATACATACATACATACATACATACATACATACATACATACATACATACATACATACATACACACATACATATACACATACATACATACATACATACATACATACATACATACATACATACATACATACATACATACATACATACAGGAGGGTACCATATACATATATATTTTTTGTAGTATTTGTTCATTTATATATTTATACGTACACAAGATACGTCAATGATATACACGCACAGCCTTTCTTCTCCGTTGTGGCAGGATGGCGAGGTGCGGGAAGAGGCTGGATGGACCTTTGTGTTTCGCCCGATCTCGTCAGGAATGGGTTGGGCTGAGGGTTTGTCTCCCAATTGCCATCAATTTTCGTGGGATGGAAACACCTGAAAATTGTTGGTGGGTGGGGGTTGGGTTTGTCTAGCTTACCATTGAAACCATGAGAGCCGCCAGCTGCAAATCAAAAAAGAGATATGAGTGGAACGAGGGCACATCTTTTTGCGATTTACACCCAAGCAGCCAACTCTCGCCATTGGACAGGTAGATGTCCGAGGAGCGGGTGACAGGGCGGGGTCTCGCTTTGCTTGGCTAGAGGTGCATGCTCACGAAGGAACAACCACTATGAAGTTGTTTTTAGAGTTTTAGTTGGCCAAAAGAGCACAACTCTGGCCACCTTTGGAAGCTTGTGGGGGAACACTGCATCCGCTCGTGAAGGGAGATTTGCTGCAAGAGCTTGCGCAGAGATGTCGCTGGGGAATTGCTTAGGGCCCCGGCCTGGCGCAAGACAGTGACTCTTAGGCGAACACACCTTCCATCCTCAGAACGGGTGCTAGCTTTATCAGCCTGGCTTTCGAGCCTTTCTGTTCGAGCTAGTGGGGGTCTGCGGAGCCCCTGTCCTTCCCTTACATTGAAGTATACGCTGCAACTTTGTTCAATATGTCGTTTCTTGAGATACATGTAGCATTCGAGCTTCGTGAGGAAACCAGTCATGAATTTGGGGCAAACGATTTTTGTTATCATGCCGACACCACATGCTCCAACATGCACAAACTGTCACATGCTAGCATCTTGTGTGCCAGTATATACTATGTCAGACAGTTCCTGGATGTACGTGCACTGGCTTGTCATGCATGTAAAGAACATATTGTCCTCTGCGGTGCTATGGTTGACAGACAAAATCCAACACCGGCTTGACGGGGTGCAGGATTTCGGAAGCTCACCCAGGAATTGGAACCAGGGCTGCAAGTTTTCAAACAGGGACCGAAAGGGTACGCAAAAAGACATTCTTGAGACTACGCTGGATTTCGTTCATCAACAGAGTTCAGAATGTCATGTGCATGACCGTTTCATAATATGACTTGCGTTGACATGATATGACATGTTGTGGTTTCATGCACACATATTTCCATGCCCAGTCTTTGCACTGTAAGATGAAGTCTTCAAAGGAATCGGTGCTACTGCTGTTGTGAATTTATGCTGTTCATCTCTACTGCTGGGAGGCCAGCTGTTGCTCATACCTCGTTGAGATAGCGGTGTATTGCTTCGGGCTCTCCTTGAAATGGCAAGGCTTATTGCCACTTTCAAATGCGACAGACCTGCTACCACTTTGAACCCATCGGCACTCACCCATCTGGTTTCACTTTCTATGAGGATCTCACAGCGGCATGTGTTTAGCCGGCAGAGGCCACATCCCCCAGCCCCCAGGAGATGACAGAACGGATGGCAGCAGGACGGACGCACCGCGGTGTGGAAGTGCTTGGCCCATGAGCTTGACAATGCTTCGCATTGGCTTCGAACCAAGGTTTACCAGGAAGTAGGTGTCAATGATGTCAACGTGTTTTTATGCTGGATGCGTTCCATTTTGCCGGCTTGGTTGGTGGTTGCTAGGAGCATTCAGAAGGGGTTTATCTCATGTAAGCGGCCAGCTCGCATTGTCCAGATCCATGCATTTTGTTTGAACCCGTTTCTCACTTGCTGCCTTTGAATCTGTGAGCATGTTGCTGAGACTTGGCTCTGGATTTTGCGGGCAAGTATGAATGCACGTGTGTTTTTTCTCCATCCAGCATTCCTCACTTAGAGCTGGGGCGACCAACATCGCAGATAAGTGTCCAAGCTCATGAACATCAAGTCATCCACCCTTGAGGAACCATACCTTCCCACCCTGAAATGGAATTCTGGCCCTCTGTGTCCCTTTCAAAACCGCCAGTTTTGGAAACAGACGGTTTTCCCTCAGATTGTCTGACCGGGCTAAGCTGTTGCCAGGTGCCACGTGGGCCATCTGCGGCGTTGGTTTTCCGCAGAGGCGGATGGACCTGACGAGACTTTGGGGCCGGCAGTTGCGCTCTGAACTTGCCGAATCTCTTCGGCTGCGTGAAATTTGAAGTTCGCTGTAGGGGGGCAAGTGAACAAGGGGAGGCAACCCTGGTCCAGTTGTGGCCAACTGCTGGTCTAAGCCTGTGTTGAGCCATTGGGAATGTCTTTGAAGCGCATTTGCCAGTGTTTCTCAAAATTGGGGACCCCTCCAGGTAGGCGGTTTTCTTTTTGTTTCCCTGAAAAAACAACTATCCGAAAAGAGGGGCTTGAGAACCCCTCCTTCTTGTTTCCCTTTAAGCCTATCCAAGACGAGGTCCATGTGCTATTTTGCGAACACCCCTCGCTGTTTTTAGTTTCCCCTTTAAAGTTATCCAAAACGAGGTCCACTTGAAGGGCACATGAGAACTCCCCCCTTGTCGTGCATTTTTTGCCCAGATAGCTGAAAGCTATGTGCATATATATATATATATATATCTATACATATATATATATATATATATTCCGCTACCTGGGCTATGCTTTTCGTGTTTTTTGTTGGCGTGTGCCCCATTCTTCCACGGCAAAAAAAGCGCTGACCAGGGCCAGGCATATGGCTTTGTGAGCTGCTCCCTTGGCGACGTCTTGCTGCTTCCGGAGCCCCAGGCAGGAGACGAAACGCACATTTGCGACCGCCACGAGTTTTTTTGTTTTTTTTTGGTGAAGCTATGGTCTGCTCAGGTAACCCTTACCTGGTGGTTTGGATTGGTTTGGATTTGGAACCCCGGGTCCTTTTGCCACTGGGAAAGGTACCCGACAACGTCCAAACCACCAAAGCAAACCAAACCAATGAGAGGGAAGCTGAATTGCAGTGTCTGCAGGAGCTTTGGCTGTCTTTTGCCTCGGGGTGTTGAGGTTGCCTAGTTTTGAGCCATCGCACCGAGGTTTGCCTCTTTTGGGTTGTTTCCTGGTGAGAGCCACGAGCGGAGCGAGCCATTTGGGGAAGTGGAAGCACCCCACAGGCACCAAGTTGCAGTTTCCTGTGGATCGAGCAGAAATCAGCAGGTTCTTCTCCCGTCTTGTGCGTGCAGGATGCGGGCACATTTCACGAGGGCCAGGTGCTGCGTTTTGAAGTCTGCGCGGAGGACACTTCTGAAGCTTTGCACATGGCGAGTTGTTGTCCCGGCCCAATTCGCAGTTTGAGCAAGCAGAACACCTGGATGTGACCGTTCTTTTTTGCCAGCCACTTTGGCAGCAAGTGAAATCCCTTCAGTCAACCGACAGGACTGGGGCCTGAAGGCGTGGCATTGAGTCATGCGGCTTGCTTGCGCATTGCGTCATTTGCATGGCTCGAAATCTTTGGCCGCGCTCTCTCCTTGTTTCGTTAGGCAGATGCACTCCTTCCCTGGGTCAGGTGGCATGTGTTGCAGTTGCGCGTGAAGCCTATCCTGTCAGGCGTTGAACGCGCGCCCCATCACCTCCCAAGAGCCGGGGTGCCTGACTTTTGTGGGCTCCAACATGGAGAGAGGTTCATTGGTCTGGTGGGAACACAACTGGCAGTGACACGATCCGCTTCGATTTGATGCGCATTTTCGCCACCGTTCATGGAGGTATTCTGTCCGAACGTGCGGGAAAGTGGTGTCGGACAGGACCACCTGAGACCCGACTTTGGGTCTGCCATCCATCATAACCCGTCCACAACCCCGAACTCATTCTGGATGTGCTTTCGCTTCTAGGATACTATCACATCTTCGGGCTAGCATTGCATGACATGTAGAACTGCCAGATGTGCTAGAATCGAGCGAAAGCACAGCCAGAACGAAGGCGTGACGGGCAAGAGGTGCAACCCCAAAGGCCAAACGCTTCAGGAAAGTGGCAATTTTGCTCAGCCCTAAATGTGAGCTGAGTTGCCGTGTAGGCGCAATTCGGCAGGCTTTTACTTGCCGCGTGGTCTCGCGTAGGCGTTTTTTTTTTGCGAGAGTGGTCGCTTTGGCGTAGGCGGCGCAGGCATGGCGCAAGCAAGTGAAAAACTGAGGCCCCACACAACAAAACAAAGATTGCCGACCTTGTGGATACACCCCCTGGCTCGGTTGTTATGCGCCTTGCAAGAGCAAAACGACCTGAGGCAGGAGCGGATTGGCGAGCGATTGGAGCAGGACGGTCTTCTTCCGTCGCTGCAGGCTGGGACTTGGAGATTCTCTGATGAAGTTAAAGGAACACAGAAACACCCTTCGACGGTCCAACATATCTTCCATTTCCGCTTAAACTACAGGAGGAAACACAAAGTGGCGGGAGCCCAGGGCCTAGGGTTGTGTGATCTTTAGAAGTGCACCTGAGTTTTCCTCTTGTCTTTTTGTGATCCCATTTCTGGAGCATAATTCAGTTTTCAATAAGTTTGACTTTCGCCAACCGACACACAGCCCCTATATCTCAAAGGTCGCTTCCTTTGTATTTAGAGTGATTTGTAGTGCTCGTCGCTGCCTGCAAGAGTCTCAACAAGCGTCATGGGATCACCTGCCCTGTCTGTGCGGCGGCCGACAGGTGACGGTTCTGCATAGCCAGGCTGGGCAGGCCGAAACAGTTGCGTTTAGTTTTCTGGAGCGAGAATCGAAACGCAGTCGTCCGTTTCAACAGCACTGCGTATCTGCGTTGTTGGAGTGATTTCTCCACGCAGCCTGCTCATTTGTCTCTCAGCTTCTATGTCCTGAAGTTTTGTCCAGCTGACGCTCTGTTTCAGGTGGTGGGGGTACCTTTCTTGGCAATCATTTGAAATTCCGCTGAAGTTCAGTTTGCTTCAATTTATCTCCCAGCTGCCAGCTTGGCTGCCTTTTTTCCTGCTGCTTTGTTCAACCTCCGGACTGCCTGCTTTTGCTACCTGTTTGTGTTCCAGACATGTTGTTTGTTTCTTCATCTAGCTTCTCTGCATGCACACATCTGACAGCTGTGTTCTGGACTGCTGTCCTTAGGTCCCAAAGTGTCCGGCTGTCTTGGAGAAATCACCTCCGGAGGGTCCGGCCACGCGGAAGCGCTAGGCGAGTAGTACGGCCATGTCCTGCGCCCAGTGCCTTGAGGTCGCTTTAAACAAAAGGCTAGAGTTGGGCTTTTGAAGCTTGATTGCTATGGAGACTGCGCGTTGGTTCTCGAGAATTGTGATCTTGTCAGGAAATCGCCAAGACAGACTTGTGGAAGGAGGCAAGGTCAAACTTCACAGAAATGGAGCCGAAGCCCTTTGTACATTTTCAGTAGCTATGTGTGGGACATCAGGACTACCATTACTGACAGCTCACATGATAAGCTGTCTTCCTCCAAGCTGCCGCTGTGTCTTTGATGTGTAGTATGACACGAGTCAGCATTGTCCACGGGAAGGGTCACACTGAGTGTGATTTGCAATGGCCTGGTCAGTTGGCAGTGGCTCAACAAATGTACCAAACTGCCGCCTTTGCAAATGGAACCAAAGACAACAACCTGCGTAGCCCTAGCTCGTAAGTTTGAGCCACACCGAGTTTGTGGTGCCGGTGCTGAGGCAAGACAATGGGATGATGCACATGCTGCTTGCTCGGGATTCTGGAAACTAGCAAAACTTGGGTCAATGGACTTTTGAATGCTAGTCCTTGTTCCGCCTGGCAATTTGGCACTCACGACCTGTATACGGTATACGGACGGTAGACACCATGAAGGATTGCTCTCCAGCTTTTGTTGCTCAGTTGCCCGCAGTGCTCTGATGTTCACTAAGGTACCAACAGCCTTACCAGCTGGGTACGATGCAGCAGCAGCAGCAGCAACGACTGCAACAGCTGCAGCAGCAGCAGCAGGCACAGCAGCAGCAGCAGCAGCATCAGCAGCAGCATCAGCAGCAGTTGCAACACCAGCAGCAACATCATCCGCAACAGCCCCTTGGAAGTCAATTTGCCGCAAGATCGCTTCAATGTTCCCCAGCCACGTGCTATGATTTTGTTCCGCTGCATGTGATGGCAACAGTCCCAAGCTTTAGCAAGCCCAAAGCAAAGGTTTCGTTCAATGCGGGACAAATTAGCTTGCATCATTCAGTCAGTCAGTCAGTCAGTCAGTCAAGGTTTGCCTTGTCAACATGAGCAGAAGGTGTTCAGTGACTGTTGCACACATGAGGCACTTGGCAATCGGTTCAGTTCCCCATCGAAAGCTGGACGACCTTCAATGCCCCGTCGTGTTTCTTTCCCGTTTTGATCTGGTGCCGGAAAAAGCGAAAGGAGGTTTTGCCGAATTGAATAGTTCATGCATTCATGTTGTGATGAGTTCTGCGACGGAACATGGCACTGCTTGATTTTGCCGCAACATATATTTGGTTTGCCTCTTTCATTTCGGCGCTGGAAACAGTAGCAATGTATGTGTGGGGCTAAAGCTAGTAACTGTGTCAAGTGTTGTTAGCTTCGCGCCGCAAAACACTATTGCGCATTCTGTTGCGAGTTGTGTTTGCCACGATTTCCTCTTTGTTTCGGCACCGGAAACGTTTCCCTCCGCACCAGAAAGAGTGAGTACCTGTTTTGTGATGAACATCATACTGTAGCGTCATGCTGAAAAGCATTAAACTGGTTATGTTGCATTCGGCACGTTTGAGTCCTCTTTTTGGCGCAGTACCGGGATGCACTAGCATGTAGCCTAGACTAAGGTTCCCGCGTTATGTCCTTTTAGTTTGGGACCAAACAAAAATGCAGCACAGACTGCTGCCTGTTTTGTAGCAAACTACGATTTCGTCTCGTTGGTTTGGCGCCGAAAAAAGCAACCACCGCGGCACCATGTGTGGTGTGACAAACAACATGTTACATGGCACCAGTTCATCACGCCGATGTTGAGGCAGCAATTGTCTTGTCCCCTTGGCTCGGCGGTGGAAAGCACAATGGGAAATGGGATTGTGGTGAAGATTCGTACTCATGTCTTGTGATGCGTTTCACGCAGCACATAAATGTGAACTTGCCCAACCAGACCAGCTGAAGAATTCGGGGCTCTAACTTCAAGTAGAGAAGGATTGATGCGGAGGCGTAGCTCGGACTTTTCGCTCGGTGCTGCCCGGCACGAAAGTGCCAAGAATGTTGTGGGTGGCTGCTGCAATAATTTTGGCGTGGAGTGTTCTCTGGAGGGCTGTCGTGGGTACTATTTCGAATGGCGGTGTTAGCCAGTGAGACTGAGAGTTGCGCAGGGGGCGCTGTTGTAGGATGCTGCGCAGGATGTTGCTGGAGGGTGGTACAGGCTTGCTGTGCGTTTTGGAATCGGGCTTGAGAGTAAGGCGCGAGCTATTTTATATTTGCCGAAGGCCAATCACCACATTGAAGCGGGGCAAGCCAAAATTCACACCCTTTGCAAGGAGGGGATCATCAGAACACATTCTGTACCACGGGCGCTTCCCCACCATTCTGATCACCGCTTTCTCGTGCCTTCCAGCCCAGGCAGATGGTTCAGTCAGCTGCCCGGATGCCTAGTCACCCAGGGTGGACGGTGCCTTTGAAATGGCAACCGCTGGGTCTTGACCCGGGAAGGCAACAGCATGAACAATCGCAGTCACAGAGGTGGGTACCTGCTTCAGGGATTCCTGCCTGCCTGCCTGCCTGCCTGCCTGCCTGCCTGCCTGCCTGCCTGCCTGCCTGCCTGCCTGCCTGCCTGCCTGCCTGCCTGCCTGCCTGCCTGCCTGCCTGCCTGCCTGCCTGCCTGCCTGCCTGCTCTTGCCTGCCTGCCTGCCTGCCTGCCTGCTGCCTGCCTGCCTGCCTGCCTGCCTGCCTGCCTGCCTGCCTGCCTGCCTGCCTGCCTGCCTGTGCATCTTCGCTACTTCAGCTTGAGTACCATGCGCAACTTGACAAAGCGTGCTGGCTTTGCTCCCGGATGGGCCTGGCTGAAAATGGGGTTCAGTTTGGACTGTATTTATCACACGGGAAGACCACACAAGCGAGATCAAGCGAAGGATCCCTATGTGAAGACACGCCAAGACGTAGCTGTTTGGTGCAACGGCGTTTTCCACAGAAGGGTAATTTGTTTTGCCAGTGCTTGCGTGACCAGCCAGCAAAGCGTGTTGGGGCCGCTGCAGGTGATGCCATATCCGCAGATGCAGGGAGCGCAGTGGGTTGCGGGAGATCGACCGGACCGCTTGCTGTGCTTTGAAGGGAATTGGGGTCTGAGAAGTTGCAGAGATCCGATGTGCGCAATTTCCCTGAAACTCGGCCTTGCTAGATGCTTTGCCGCCAGGATCGTGGTTTTCAGATTGGCACCCGCCTCCTCCCCAATGCCCTGTAGAAGGTGAAAGTAAGCGTGGCGAATGTCGAACTTTCATTGACCCACTCCAGTTGTGTTTTGTCCTTGCTGTAAGACCACCTCGGACATCCAAAGCACGGATTGCTCTTAGAGGTTTGGCAAGTTCCCCTTCCCCCCCAAAGAAACTGGGGCACAAGCACAGCCCTAGTCCAACTTGCCCTCCTCGCCGCATGCCACGTCTCGCTGCAGGCACGCCCGCCTTTTTCAGGCGCCTAATGGGGTTTTGGGAGGTCGACCGTGGATGGGCCGCGTGGATGCAAGTCTGAGCTCGCACTGCGGGCTTCTATTGATGTCCACATTTCAGGAAAGCTTTGAATGACTGAGACAGACATGTGTTTTGTTGTACCACTTCTTCCTCAGTTTAAGATGGTTTGCTGACAGACATAGACATTGGCCGCATCACCGCTGTCGTCCCTCCGGCGGGTTGAGCAAGCCCAATTTGGGCTTGGGCTTGGTTGAATTAACTGATCACGCAAGGTACTTGAACGCCCTTCAGTGATTGGTTCACAGCAAACACATTTTCTGGCCATCGTTTTCAGGAGCTGCAATTCAGCTGATGACAATAAACCACGCCTTTTGCTGCAGCCATTTCTTATAGAATCATTAGGACCACTGCAGCGCAGCCTTCGGTGATCCTGTCAGAAGTCTTGTTGTGACTATTTCGAAGGGGCACCGCCACAATGGACTCAACCGGACAAGTGTCGGCTCCACTGGGGGAGTTTGCGTTTGCAGAGTCAGTGGGGGAGAGGAGCTTTCACAGGGAATTTGTGCACTACCTTTGTGTTTGGCCTTCCTTTCCCCACCGAGTGCAGCTCCCCCCCCTCAAGTCGAAGGAACCATTCTTTAGAAGCATTTGCGGACAGGTGCCTGCGCAGACGCTGACTGCGACTCACGGCCGGG